ATAATAATCAAAAAATAAATGTCCAATAGTAAAAAATAGATTGTTAAAATGTAATCTGGGGGGGCAGCAAGATGCCTTGGTGGTAAAGATGTTTGCCAAGTAAGCCTGAGGACAGGGGTTCTATTCCCAGAGATCTATATGGTAGAAAGAAAGAACCAACTCCTATAACTTGTTCTCCAACAGATACAGCCCATGTGCTCCTTCCCACATAGGCCAATGGATATACTAAAATTGTGAATAATTTGAGCAGCAGGTTCACAATAAATATTAAATACAGAAGTGATGAACAGGATGCACATATTCAGAAGAAAAATTTGACATCTTGGTTTGATTTTTAAATTTTATTTGCTTTAAGACTATTATACAATGTAGTTGCTAGAGATTAAAAAGGAAAGGTTTTTTTATGGTTTGGTTTTGGTCATACAAAGTTAAATCCAGGATCTCACACATGCCAGGCAGGCACTGTGCTGTGGGACTGACTGTTAACCCCTAGAGTAAGGTTCTAATCACAGAATCATTTCTCTTCAGAGAATTGTACTCCTCATGTTCTTGCCTCATTTAGTTGCTTCTTGCTTGGTATAAGATGCTGTTCTCACCGTTCATCAAGTGAAGCTCTCTTTGCAGCAGATAGAAACCACTGAAGGAAACCAAAACCCATCAGATCTTGGGAAGTGTGGGAAGGGAGAGAAGAAAGAAAGTTTGACTCAAATTTATGAAAGAGAAATAACGTGAACCTGACTTTCAAGACAACAATTTAGCTGGTTATGATGGAATAGGACTAGTACTTGGGAGAACTAGAAGGGTTACAAGTTCAAGGCCAGCCTAGACAATTTACTGAGAACTTTTCTTTCTTTCTTTTTTTTTTTTTTTTTTTTTTTTTTTTTTAGGGCTGGGAATTTAAGATAGTAGAGTACTTGCCTAGTGTGTTCAAGGCCCTGGATTCAGCCTCCAGTAACATATAAAACATTTCAACTTTGTAAAACAAGTTCTAATTGGTCTTAATAATAAAACCCAGAGTGAGATATTAGGGGGTGAAAGCTGAAAGATCAGAGAAGCAGAGCAGCCAGCCACTAGAGCTCTGTGAAATCCTCAGACTGAAGAAAGGCCAAGTTCCTGTCTCCTCCCTGTAAGGAGAGATCTAAGATACCTGTGCCGCCGACCACGCCCGCTTTGGGTGTGGCTACAGGTGCAGAAGGACTTGGGAAATAAAGGGCTGTGCAGGAGAATGCTGCCTCTCTCTTGTACACCAGGCTAGGTGGTGGTGGTGCAAGCCTTTAATTCCAGCACTCGGGAGGCAGCGGCAGGTGGATCTCTGTGAGTTCAAGACCAACCTGGTCTACAAGAGAGAGCCAATGCTCTCCTGAACAGCCTTTTATTTCCAGTGTCCCTATGCACCTGTAGCCACGCCCAAAGCATGCGTGGTCAGCAGCCAAGTATCTAAGATCTCTCCCTACATTTCCCACCTATTCCTCTCTCTGCCCAGCCATCTCACTTCCTGTCCATCTGTACAGATCTCCAGATCTCTATGGTTAGCTAGTGACTAGCTCCACCCTCTGTCCTTCAGGCGAGCTTTATTTGTTAGTGTATGAGCAAGACATCACCACACAACTTAATAACTCACTGCAGACACTGGAGGTCTGGTGGGCCAGGTGGAGGTATGGTTGAGTCAGCAGCTGTTTTTGTGGAGGTGGAAAGTTGGCTAGTGAGGTCATCTTATAGAAACTATGATCTTTTATTTAAATAAAGATGAGTGAGTTTTTCACAGAGACCAGGTGGGCATGACAGCTTGAGGGCAAAACTGGTTCTCTTTGCCATGATGGCATGGAGAAAGCATGGGCCCCAGTCATAGAAGCTGCATCTCAAATGCTGCATCATAAGGAGCACAGGCAGGGCTAGCATTCTGTCTTGCAGTCCCCACACTTAGAAGAGCCCTACCCACACTTAGTTGAATGCTATGACATTGCCACCTTGAAATTTTCTTTTCTTAATGAGTCCTGGAGATGGGGTAGCATGTCGTAAGTCATACATTGAGGAAACTAGGTGGAATGGTCCCAACATGGGAAAGGAAGGATAATTTAGAGTCACCGAGTACTTTGTGAAGAAAGCTAGGCACAGTTTCCATGCTCAGATGGTAAGGAACCAGTCATGTTACCCATAGCTCCCTCATCTCCCAAGGACACCCACTTCCAATGCTCTCTACTTAGAGAGGGCAAAATGGAGAGGGGACAGCTTGGATAAAAGGAGAGAGACTGCCATAGGGCCTCCTTCCCATATAATGGCAGTTGGCTTGTTGTATGACATAAAAATGACTATACAACTTCTGTTAAATAATAGCAATTAGGAAAACAACAGTGTTATCCAGGTTTATCTAGGGGTGATGCATCACATAAATAGTAAGGGGAAAGTGACGTACAAAATGGCTTTGATTTTTGAACTCAAATCTCTGAAGTAATACTTAACCTGCACATTGATTATATAATTGACTTTGAAGAACCTAGAAGCATGAAATGCTTTTAACTTCCAAACCTTGTTATTTTTTAAATTTAAAATTATTTTCTGAAAGCTACTGAAAGGCAGTTTAAGGAAGCAGAACTTTTTATGCTGTTTTTGTACCTTTTAATCTTATTTGGTAATAGAAAACAACATGTTACATTTCCCCATGTCAAGGCACTTGTATTTATCTGGTTTTGACTTGCTGACAGTCACCTAAAAATGGAAAAATCTTAGTTTTGTGCAGCTGTACTAAAGAAGGGACCTGTGTGCAGTATTTCTTGAGAAAACATTTGACATTTTAGAAAATGATTCTTGATTTGTTGTAATGTATTATTTTTCAGTGTCAGTAAATGTTTTTAGTAGCCATTTCAGCATGGCCTGAATCAGGGATGTAGGCAGTCTTTGATATATTTCTGCTGCTGTTTTCCATTTCATGCAAAGACCATTGTAGATTATTTATAGAAAATTGCATTTGGTGTTCATTACATAAGTGTGAAATTAATTTTGTCACTGAAGGGCTGACATTTGGAGTAAAACGAGGTTGCATTCTTTCCTAGGATTCTGTGAACTATATATGTTAATGCCCTTCAACAATAAGGATGCTTTGTTTTCTCAACTTTCCTGTAGGCTTTGGAGTTGGATATATTTTTACAAAGCATGAATACATTTTCTTATATAAAGAATTTTACAGTTTATTTCATTTTCCATCAAACATCCTTACAATGCCTTCTGGCTAGGAAAAAAATCAAATATATTTGTGACTGTACCACATCTTGATTAATATTTAAAATATAAATTCTATGAGTATAAAGATAATTTTTCCCAAGGGTTTTTTGTTATTAAAACTTCTAATTTTACTTAGTCTAAAACTGTTTTAATAGGAATTTATGGGAGACAGCGTAATAATTTGATACATGAGTATAGTTGGCAATGATCATGAATTTTACTTTATCTTTTAGAAACACTCTAAGCATTTTATCTATGTATCTATCTATAATTTATCTATCTATATATCTACCTATTTATCTGTCTGTCTGTCTATCTATATCTATGTATTTAATATATGGGTGGCTTGTCTGCATGTATATCTGTGTACCACATGACTGCCTGTTGTCTCAGGAGGCCAGAAGAAGGCATTGGATCCTCAGGAAGGAACTCAAGTTTGAGATGACTATGAGTTGCCTTGTGAATGCTGGGAATTAAAAATGGGTCTTCTGGAAGAGCAGCCAGTGCTCTTAAACACTGAGTCATTCCCCGAGCCTCATGGATTTTATGTTAAACTGAAAAAGACTACACCTATAATTCAGATCCTTGAAGGAATAAAGCATTATTGAAAAGATTTATTTATATCCATTTTAGTGTAAAAGATATTCATATTCACTCCCTCTTTCTTCCTCACCCTCTGTGTGTCTCTTCCCCCTTTCTCCCTTTCTCCTCACCCGTGTGTGTGTGTGTGTGTGTGTGTGTGTGTGCACATGTATGTGTGTGTGTTCATGTGTGCATATGCAGAGGCTGGAGGAGGAGAACGGATACCCTGTTCTACTGCTGTCTCCCTTATTCCCTTATTTCCAAGGTCTCTGCCTAAACTTGAGGCTTGCCCTTTGGGCTAGGTTGTTTGAAAAAAAAAAAAAGCAGGTATCCAGCTGTCCCAGTGCCTGACAGTGGTGGACTTATGGTTGGTGTGCTGCACCCATGGCTCCTAATGTGGGGGTTAAGGATTGAGCTCAGGTCCTCCTGCTTGTGGGACAAGCATGGTTAACCCACGGAGCACTCTTCCAACCACTGAAAACATGGTTCTAAAGTGCTAACACCTTCCGCAACCATGACAAAATGCCTTAGGCAGTTATCTTTAAAAGAGCGGAGGCTTGCTGTGGATCACAGTTTCAGAGGTGTCAGTCCGAGGTCCCATGTGTGGTACATCAAGGTGGGACTCTGCTATGCAGGAAACTTGGTTGCCACAGGAGATCAGCCAGTGAAGTGGAAAGGGGAGGGACAGTCTTGGTCCTAACACCACTCTCAAACACATACTCCCTTCCACCTCCTAAGGCAGTGGTTCTCAACCTTCCTAATGATAGGACCCTTTAGTGCAGTTCGTGTGGCATAACCCCCAACCATAAGGTTATTTTTGTTTCTGGTTTATAATTTTGCTACTCTTATGAATCATGATGGAAAAGAGGGATGGCAACCCATAGGTTGATAGCCAGTGTTTTAAAGATTATCCCAGAAACACCAAACCCTGTTCCCCTAGCTTTCCACATGTGGGTCTTTGGGGACACCCAAGATCTGGATAACAGTAGGAAGAAACTTTGGGAACGGGCCAAATGGCTTGCCAAGCTTGTCAGGCTTGGGGTCCTTCTGGCCTTGGGCTTACCACCTGATGACACTGTCTGTCAACCTTTAGAGTAGCCCTGAGTACCATTTGGAAAAGACATCGCAACACTTCTGGAAAAGTTTCTTTCTGTTATATTCATTTATTCCTTTAATGCCTTTCTCCAACTCTGTTGTAGGCTCGCAGGAAGGAGGTGTTTATCCAGGAACGGTATGGGAGATTTAATCTAAACGACCCCTTCCTGGCACTGCAGAGAGACTATGAAGCAGGTGCTGGTGACAAAGAGAAGCCAGTCTGCACCAACCCACTCTCCATCCTTGAAGCTGTCATGGCCCACTGCAGAAAAATGCAAGAAAGGATGTCCACCCAGCTGGCTGCTGCTGAGAGCAGGCAGAAAAAGGTACTGAGGCCTTGAGTTGTTTTTCCTGTAGCAGTATGAAACAACAAAACCATCTCAGTGGTGACTGGCTACTGAATATCACATTTTTATAATGATTCGTTTAAGTTCCTATCAGGACAAAATGTAACTAAAAGTAATTAAACAGAGAAGTATGACAAATGGATATTTTCATGGAATGCTTAATACTTTCTTTAAAGTGTGGATTTGGTGAAAGTGGGCCTCATTTCCCTAGTGTAGTAAAATGCACTTAACCATAGAGTGCCTTCATTCTCCAGGTAAACCAGGATCCTCCAGTCATATGCAAGCAACCCCAACTTACGTCATCTAGAATCTATTTAAAACACTTCTTTGCAGGCAGGCGTGGTGGGTCGTACCTGCAGTCCCAGGTCCTTGGAAAGCTGAGGCAGGAGGATGGGAAGATGAAACAATCCTGAGTAATACATGAGACTATCATCTAAAACAAAATCAGAGTTAAAGATGTTTTTAATAGGACATTCTATTATTTTCTAGTATTTCTGAACAAAACGGAAAGTAGCTAAAGAAATGAGAGCTTGCATGGTTGTCACCAAATGTCCTCATAAAGTCCAGGCTTGTGGCAAACTCACCTCTGGAATTTGATGACCGCAGAGCTCTGGCTACCACATGTCTTCACTTAAACTAGTCTTCCCCTCCCCCACCAGCAAACCCACACTTCTTACACTTGAGCATTTGCTTCAAAGAGGCTAATTTATCACAGACACACACACACACACACACACACACACACACACACACACACACACACTGAGCTCAGCCTTAAAGAAATAGACGTTTCTATTTGTTCTGTTTATGAGTACATTGGGGAAGTCTGAGGACCTGCTGCTCTCTGCTGTAATTGGAATGAAAATGGGCAGTTCCTTCCCTGCTGTCATTAAAGCATACAGCAGTGTTTCCTCCACCTGCCCTTCTCAAAGAATTCCTTACATCCACATTTAACACCTGGTAGACGATGGTCTGAATGTGCCTTACTGTAAATATTTATGGCATTATAATTTAGCGGTGTGTTTTTGCTGTAGTTCTATGTTTCATAACATATGAACTCCAGCACGCTCCTATAGGTGTGGAATAAAAGCAGATCTTTTTATCAATATGTTACATGGCAAGAAACAAAAGCACCTGGCAAAAAAAGAAAGGAGTAGAGGAGAGCAGAGTGCTCACTTTTCCTGTGGACTTCAAACGCCTTCTGCCAGTCCCTCAGATAATCACCGAGGTCTCCGGAGGGTTTCAAAACTCCCCACAAACCGCCCAGGCAAAAGCCAGTGCATTGCAACTGATGTCACTGAAACTCATCTATATTTCTTGGAGAGGATACATTTCAATTATGTTCTTCACATGGCCAATGAGCTGGATAATAATAAATGATTTCTGCTGGATTTTATGCTTCATTATCATAACTTAAGAAAATATTTTGTTTTCATTTATTATATGAAATGTGTAATTTTCAAAATTCTACTTATATCCTGGATTTTAACATTTCGCTTTTAGGAGATAATAAAGGACCCATTTGTAGTTGAATCAAAGATTTTATTATCTAGCTGACTGGTTTTTTTTTTCTTTTCTTTAATCAATGTACATCCTGTTTTTTCTGAATGACTGGTTCATTTCCAACCTGGCTGGGAGTGAAAGGAAATAGTTTCTGTCCTATGGGCCCAGAGAGTCTCATATAAAACAAGCCCGTGGGTCTGCCTCCTCTGCATAACGGTATACAGGAGTCCTTTTATGGTCAGATTCATTGGCTGTGAAGTCTCAGTGAAGGGCATTCGGGTGGACAGTGCTGCTTTTTTGTTTAAAGAATCCTCTGTTCCAGTAGGATTGCAATGTGTGAAAAGACTTATATTTCGTATTCTACCCTGTGTGCTATAAAGAAAGTACTGACAAAACCAGAAACCCCAGTCATCTTTTTTTTTTTTGAACAAGAAAATTATGTCACCTTTAGTATGGAAAGTAACTAGTAAATATTTTAACCAAATGCCTTCAACTTCCTCTGTATGTGAAATCTCCTTCTTAGCTTTGCAGTCGCTGTGGAAGTCCGTGACGGCAACGGACTCAAGCTCTGCGATTCAAGTGTTTATTATCGGACATTGGCACATCGCTTTGGTAATTCTGAGACATTTGGCCCATGTGCTGTTGTGGCTGGGCCAGCAAGGCCCAGAAGAGGCTCTATGCTCACTCATGTGCTGGCTCCTGCTGAGGCTACTAATAGGAGAGTTAACTGTTTGGTAATTTGTGTGCCAGAGAAATTTGGGCAGGAGTCAATTTGGCAAATAGGCTGAGCCTTTAAAACCACTTTGAATAAGCTAATGAGTAGCCAGCATGGGGAATTTTGCCTGGGGTAATCTACTTGTCCTGAGCCAGGAACACGGGGTGAAATGAAATTTGGGACTGTTTTTTTTTTCATCTTGTTCTTCATCTTTTAATAGCTCTTTCATTCTAATGTATTTGGACACTAAAAAATAAATCTATGTATTTTCAAATATATTATTTATACTTTGCAAGTCTGACTTCTATCACTGGAATACAAAGTTGGAGCAAAGCCTTTAAAAACGAGCCAAAATCATATCTTAGGAAATTCAAAGAAGTGATGCTTTGGCCAGCGAAAATTTAGTTCTATATTAGTTTCTGTAGTAGTTTCTTCAGGGTGGCATCTGTGCACCATTAGGTCAATTGCATAGCATTAAGTGTGCATTATAGAGGCCTTAGTTTTAAGCACGTGACATCAGTAGGCCTTGACTTAGGCACAAAGGGTAGTTGCATGATTACCTGGTTTACAAACATATTAGTCATTTCACAGCATGGCTCAGTATGGTCGGGATGTTAGGGGATGGGCTCTAACTAGCCAGAATCATGGACAAATGTTCTCTGCAGAGCTAGATGGCAATCATTGGTTCTTGCTGGTACTAGGGCTTGCTCCTCTGCCCTGCTGATGCTGAAAGGCACATGGTATTCATTGCATAAGGTTCTGAATATGCCTCCTGGCCCCGATTTCTTCATTTCACTTACTTCTTCTTGGAATCCGACAACAAATATATGTGATGCTCAAACTTGGCCACATAACCTCTCCTCAGCCTCATGGAAGATCAGGAAAGTGATTGGTAGACATGTTCAGACCCTGTAGACTGGAATCCTAAGGCAGAGAATTTTCTATAAGAAGTGATTTCTAATTCTAGACAAATAACAAGTAAGTCCCCCACCCAAAACCAAATTATTCTGGTTACTTTCTTTTGTGCGCCCTTTCTTACTGTTTTGCATAATTGTATTTTATCTTGCCATTTGTATTCAATGTTGTTTCATTGTGAAATGGCCAGCTTATCACATATAACTCTCTTTTAAATTGCTTTCTAGATGTTTATCCATTACTGACATGGGAGACAGTCATCCATAACACCATTTTTAGGAAGAGTATTTACCATACTTTGCACATGAATGATAATTGTAGCTCATTCCAGGGTCCTTTTGTATAATGTCTTACTGCATTTTAAAATAGACTTTGATGCCCCAGGAACATTGCAAGGCAACTTTGAAGGGGACCCGGGAGACTCAGATCTGTGGCTTTGAACTGATATTTTTATATGAGGTGCTTTTGCTTCGTCCATGAAAGCAGCAAAACCCTGGCTTCCACTACATGTTTTCCCTCTTGTGATAGGTTTACGAAAAAGGAGCTTCTAAAAAACTCCGCCCTGGCAGCTATAGGCTCAATGAGCTAGCAGAGGGAAAACAGAGACCTTTTAACATGTAGAGTAACATATTTGTTTATCAGAACTGAGCAGATAGGTGGGCTAATACAGTAATGAACACTAGGATACAATGAGGGTTGGAAGATTTAGCTAGCAGTAAGGCAAAAACACATAGCTTTCTCACTTTATAAATGGACACAATTAATCCCCCCCTCGGTTCTCCACTGTGAATTAGAGATGATCGCCTGTCTGTGGCCATTGAGCTCACACCTACAGAGTTTCTCACACCTACGGAGTTTCCCATTCCTCCTATGAATGCGCATGCTTCATTCTTGGCTCCAGTCTGGGTGCTCTTGGTGGAACCATCACCAACTTTCTCACTGAGCCCTCCAGGCTCTTCCTGCTGCACTGACTGCTGCTAAAGAACCTGGTGACGCTACTGTGTGGATCTCCTCAGCTCCTGAGAGGATGATACAAAATCACTTACTTTTTAGTTTAGCATATGGTTCCAATGTCTGAATCATATAGAAAATTTTATTCTATCTGATAGTAACATTAATGGAGTCCAGAAGTTTTTATTTTCTTAGAAGTAGCTAGTCTTTGGATGTCATAGACAGTTAAATGGATTGTTTGCTGTTTGCATTGAAGTGTGGGGACATCACAGATCATGCACATTTAAGCCAATACAAATGCACCACTGAAAATATATTTAAACGAGGCTATTTTGTTGATGAGATGAAAAACTAGTATAGGGCAGAACCAAGGTATCCCTGGAGAGGATGAAACGGTTTCAGGATTCTGTGATGGACTCCAAAAGGTTTAAAGGACTCTTCCAAGATACAATATGCCAAGGCAGCGTTTATTTAGTATTTGCTGGTTCCAGTGTCATTAGCTCATTTGATCTTCACATATGTGTAGGTCAGGGATCTCTAGAGGAATAGACATACATATATATACATACGCATACATATGTGGGGACTTGTTAGAGTGACTTACAGGCTGTAGTACAACTCGTTCAACAATAGCTGTCTACCAACAGAAGGACCCAGATCCAGAAGTTGAGTCCATGAGCTGATGAGGCAGGACTTCTCAGATGGTCTTCATTACGTGCCAGAATCCCAAAGAAGTAGACTCTAATGACAATAAAGGGCTTTCCAGTGAGAGTGAGAGCAAACGGGGAAAGAGAGCAAGAGTCCATTGCTCTGCCCTTGATATAGGTTGCTAGCAGGTATGGCCCAGATGAAAGGTGGATCTTCCCAGCTCAAAGGGGATTTTAAAGGGGCCTTCCTAATTCAAATGATGTGGTCAAACGCTCCCCCAACAGGTGTACCAGCTGCTTGGGTTTCCATTCATTCCAGAAAGAGTCAAGTTGACAACTGAGGATAGCATTACAGCATAGTGTGACGTCATGACGCTGTCTGTCACTTCTCATTAGACGTAAGCAAAGTGACACCACAGAGCACCCAAAGACTTCTGCCTATTGGCTTAGGTACCATCAAGTGTCTGCTTCCAGAGGGCACACTACTCAGTCACCTCTGGACTTTCTTCTATCTCGAGGCCTCACAGACAACTAGGTATCTCCTGGTCCTGAGACTTGTGTATTCTCAGTTTACTGAACTCCTTTTTGATGCTAGTAAAAGAAAAAGGCCTTCATAACTCAATGCTTTTCTTTGATTAAGCTGACATTTCTTAGGGTTTAAGATTGAAAAGACATAGCTTTTTAAAAAATTTTTCTAGCTAGGAATTGAACCCAAGCATGATGGTGACCCCAGTTTAGTACCTCCAGTGGAAGCAGGTAGGGAGTGGCCCTAGAGAGGGTATGCACAAAGGTGAAGTGACATCTAGTGCTAGTGGCTCTTTTTGGTGGGACTTTGTTGTCTCCCTGCCTATATTCTTCATTCCTCTCAGGAACCCTCAAGCCATAATTTTTTTCAAGGATTTATTATTAATTTCTGTAGAAGAGCTATCTGAACAAGCATTCCTTCTCCATTATTGATGGTAAAACTTCCTGTGACATATTCTGTGATTGTCAAAATATATTCTGTCCAGTATATTTCTTTAGATATATCTATATTTTTAATGTGGTCAGTTCTCTAACGTGTAGTCTAAGTAAAAAGAAAACTATGCACAGTCACATATTCCTAAACAATACAACTAGCTATTACATTATGATTTGGAAACATTGGAAACATTGTTTTTAAACCACCAGCACTATGCACAGTGCTTGCCTGTGTGGAAAAATGAAATTAAACTGATTTATTTAAAATTCTTAATTTTTTTGATTTTGGTGTTTCGAGACAGGTTTTCTCTATGCAGCTCTGGGTATAGCTCTGTAACTTGCTCTGTAGACCAAGCTGGTTTTAAACTCAGAGATCCACCTGCCTCTGCATCCGGAGTACTGGGATTAAAAGTATGCACCACCACTGCCCAGTCTTAATTTTGTTTTCAATTCTAGTTTATTCTATAAGAATAGAATGAGTGATGGATGGATAAATAGATGAATGTTGTTTCATGGGCAGAGAAAAAGTAAAGATAGCAGAAGCAAGGGAACAGAAGCCAGTTGACTATAAAGTTACCTTTCCTTGGAAGGTGAGGACAGGAAGACAATAATACTCTGAGTCAGACCCTCTGCCTCTCTCCCTCCCTAATGGGCATTGGGTCTGTTGCATGCTAGGCATGTATTCTTCCACTGAACCTTTGGCTTTTGTTTCTTTGAGCCTGTATTTTTGGAAGGCGAGCTCAACAGGTCAGTTTTCTGTTTGGTGATAAGGAATTATACTGTGTCTCCATTGTAGTACAGGCTCTTAAATCACTGATCTCATGTGATTCCTGACTAATATATGTATGATATTGTGCTCTATTGTGCAAATTAGGAAACCATACAGAGCCAGTCTTCCTAGTTATAACGTAGCAAGGTCACAGGAGTTAAGAAGCTTGGGATCAGACTTGGCACACTACATCTCCTCATCTCTGAAACACACACAAAGCATGGGAGTGTGTTCTGTCCCAGTGGGAAGATTTATAGAGCACATGTTTGATGTTTGCAAGGAGAAATGTGATAAGCAATGGAACAAGTCCAAGAGGTGACTGGAAAGAATCAAGCGAATTACTAAAGGAAAGTCTAATGTTGGACAGATGGAAACCATTCTCTTGAGTGAGTGAATTTTCTTGGTGAAGGAATCTGTGAGGGTGTACCAAGCGTGCTCTTAGTAGCCATCAGTAACATTTCATCAACAGAGGTGAAGATTTGAAATATCTATTGTGAGTGGTCAAGGGAGCTGAAGACAGCGGGGAAGAGTGAGTGATGGTAACCTTAGGGGCCTGTTGAGTTGCTGTCCTGCTGTCTAGGTAGAGGTGCTACTGATGGAAGAACAGTAATTACAAAAGATTTGTATACTATATAGCCATTAATAAAAAATGCAGTTATAAATGTTGCTCATGTGCTCCAAAACCTGTTTCAGTAAATTACTATAGAGCAGCAATGCTAGCTTCATTCATTCCTTAAATAATTTATCAAGAACAACCATGTGTTGTAGGTCTGGGGGACATAGCAGATGGTTCTCAGTCTTCACACTCCTGAAGTCACATTGTAGAGAAGACAGATACTAAACAAAAACGGCATGGACAACAGGAAAGGGACTTTTTTATGGAGATGAAAGAGGGTATCTTATGGTCTTTACTGCTTTAGTGAAACACCATGACCAAAAAGCAGTTTGGAAAGGAAAGGGTTTATTTTGCTTGCACTTCCATATCAAAGTCCACCATCAAAAGAAGTCCGTGTAGGAATTCAGGGGAGGAACCTGGAGGCAGAAGTTGATGCAGAGGCCACGGAAGAGTGCTGCTTACTGATTTTGCTCTTCTTGCCTTTCTCAGTCCCATGGTCCAGGGCTGTCACTGCCCACAGCAAGCTGGACCCTCCAACATCAACCATCAATCTAGAAAATGCCCCACAGTCTGTGGGCCAGCATTATGGGGGGTACTTTCCAGATGATTCTGGCCTGTATCAAGTTGACGTAAAGCTGTAAGGGTTACAGTTGAACAGGAGCCTGAAGGAAAGAGAGGAGCCCAACCTCTTCTGCTGGATGATTTTGTGACTAGGAAGGAATCTCACTTCAAGGTGCAAGTGTAGCCCAATGGTAGGGCACTTTTATCATGCATACAACCCTGGGTTCAGTGCCCTCCCTCATATCTGGGTTTTATAAGCTAACTCTCAGTGTCAACCATTTGGTAAAGTATTTGGGTCCTGTGGCTTCATGAGCTGCCAATACATGTAGCTGAAGAAAGGTGGATCAGCCCCACACATAAGAAGTTTGATGAGCAGGGGAGCTAGAGGTTTTGCTTGCTAGTTCCTGCTGTGAAGCACATAGCATTCTTTAGGAAGGAGAGCCTCCTGAAGGTGTGTGATGGGAGTGTAGGAAGACAGGACACAAGTCAAAGACCCTGAGACAAGAGGTAGGGCCTAGTTCAAGAAATGCCAGGAAGGACGAAGTAGCTGAATTGGAAGACGGGATCCAAGTAAAGGCTGAGGGTTGGTCTCTAGGCTCACCAGCATTGTCTGTAGTTCTAATGAAATGATCTGCTATCTCTTTATAGTTTTATTTTAAAAATCCCTTTACATATGATTGCATATGACTTCCAACCCACCAAAAGACACTCAGAGAGGTTAAATAACTTAGCAGTAGAATACCATTAGCAAATATGGGGCTTGGAATTTAAGTACTCTGATTGTGTAGCTCAAAGATCAGTTCATAATTTCCAGCCATTGAACCTTCATTCAGTAGCACGCATTCTCTCACTGATCTCTGCTAATCACAACAGCTCCCTGTGAACTCTGCGCTGTGAATTGAAGCTTCCCACTATTACTCTCTCACACTGTAGTTACCTTTATTAGATTAAAACAATTCCCTTTTGTTGCAATGTAGGTGTTTTTCATAAAGCCATTTACGGCAATCTTCTCATCTTAATGAGTCTTTAAACATCATCCTTTTGAAAATCATAACATAAAATGGGGCACTTTTGCTAACCCAAATCATGCCTTTGTTCAGAAATTAACAAAAAGCCCTTCTGTGATACAAAGACTATTGTGTCTATTAATCCAGGCTTCCCTTTGAATGTCTTCCAGTTGGAGATGGAAAAGCTTCAGCTCCAGGCCCTTGAACAAGAGCACAAGAAGCTGGCTGCCCACCTGGAGGAGGAGAGGGGCAAGAACAAGCATGTGGTCCTGATGCTGGTGAAGGAGTGTAAGCAGCTCTCGGGCAAAGTGGTGGAGGAGGCCCAGAAGCTGGAGGAAGTCATGGTGAAACTGGAGGAGGAAAAGAAAAGGACGAGTGAGTTAGAAGACCAGCTCTCCGCAGAGAAACAAAGGAGCTCCGGATTGGAAGCTCAGCTGGAGAAGCAGCTCTCCGAGTTCGATACAGAACGGGAGCAGCTGCGTGCCAAGCTCAGCCGAGAGGAGGCACACACCACTGACCTCAGAGAGGAGGTAGACAAGATGAAGAAGATGATGGAGCAAATGAAAAAGGGGAATGACAGCAAGCCAGGCCTCTCCCTCCCGCGGAAGACAAAAGATAGGCGCCTGGCTTCTGTATCTGTGGCGACAGAGGGGCCGGTGACAAAGCCTGTTGCTTGCCAGACAGATGCAGTGACAGAGAGCACTGACCCTGTGAAGAAGTTGCCTTTGACTGTACCCATAAAGCCTTCCACAGGGAGCCCCCAAGTTCCCGCGAACACAAAAGGGAATGTGGGCCCAGGTGCCCTACTGATTAGACCAGGTATTGACAGGCAGGCTTCCCACAGTGACTTGGGTGCCGCTCTACCTACTACCGCCCTGCCGGCAAGTGCAAATAGAATCGAGGAAAATGGACCAAGCACCGGCACCGTCCCAGATCTACCAAATAGCACACCCACAACCCCCAGTGGCTCTACCCCTGCCACTGCCCAGACACCAGGCACAGCTCCTCAGAACCTCTCGCAGGCTCCCCCTGTGCAGAGTTTACATTCACCGTGTGCCAACACACCTTTGCATCCGGGTCTCAACCCACGAATCCAAGCAGCCAGATTTAGATTTCAGGGCAATGCAAATGACCCAGACCAGAATGGAAACACCACCCAAAGTCCTCCCTCGAGAGATGTCTCTCCTACAAGTCGTGACAACCTAGTGGCCAAGCAGCTAGCCCGGAATACTGTGACCCAGGCGCTGTCAAGATTCACCAGCCCTCAAGCAGGTGCTTCTCCAAGGCTGGGAACATCTCCAGGAGGGGATGCTGGCACCTGCCCTCCAGCCAGTCGAACGGGTTTAAAGACTCCTGGGGCAGCACGAGTTGACAGAGGAAATCCTCCTCCTATCCCTCCCAAAAAGCCAGGGCTCTCCCAAACTCCTTCTCCGCCACACCCCCAGCTGAGGGCCTCCAATGCAGGGGCCAAAGTTGATAACAAAATTGTGGCTTCACCTCCCTCCACTTTGCCACAAGGGACCAAGGTAGTAAATGAGGAGAACGCCCCTAAGTCATCCTCCCCTCAGCTGCCACCAAAACCATCCATTGATTTAACTGTGGCACCTGCGGGCTGTCCCGTCTCGGCCCTGGCTGCGTCTCAGGTGGGTGCCTGGCCTGCGGAAACCCCTGGACTGAACCAACCTGCATGTTCAGACAGCTCCCTTGACATTCCCACCACCATTGCCCTTTGCTCTTCCATAAACCCTGTTAGTGCCTCATCCCATAGCCCCGGTGCCTCAGACAGCCTCCTGGTAACAGCATCAGGTAAAGGGATTGAAATCTTATACCCTTTTAAAAGAATGTGGCCTATTCTCTCATCTGTCCTATTTTCTCTCATATTGTCTGGAAGCATTTTTAATATACCATTCCCCGTTTCCCCATTTATTTCCTCTGGTTTTTCTTTTTCCTTTTTAATTTTCTTTAAGACTCTGGGGTGATGGTGATTCACCTTGCTCTATGAATTGTGGTTCCAACATGCTAAGTGCCTTTTCTTGAAAATAACCTGAAAATCGTGGTTTGAAGCACACAAAGACCATTAATTTAGAGAGGCTGAAGCATTTCCAGGGGAGGATAGAGTATCCCTTCTTATCAAATATTTACCTCAGGAGACTTCAATATTAATGGATCATCCTTAGTGTGCGTTCAATGTGTTCCTTCTAGGATGACATAAAAAGCATCCTTTCAAGTCAGTGTTCCCACCACTCAGGGTTAGCAGGCTGATGGGGGTTTGTTTTGTAGGTAATGGACTGGAGGTGAATATTGGTTTGGTATGAACGTGCCCTTCTTACTCTCAACAGGGCCATGAGTGAATGCCACGTACCCTGTTCGATAAGGTAGTGTCCTCAGAGTCTTGAGCACACGGATGGCTTCTGTGCCCCCACGTGTCATGTTAAAGTTCCCATTGCATCAGGGACATCCTGAAGTTGCTGGATTGGGGGCTGCAAAAGTACTAGATGTTTTTCTTTTCGGTGTATATGGTTCAATGCAAGCATTGCTTTTTTTAGGGAGGCTAAAGTGACATGCTTGGTGTCAAAGCTCTGTTAACACCCAGAGCATGCTGTCATCACATGTTGGGGTTGGCAGATCTGTTGGGCTCTAAGGAGGAAGGGTTTAAAAAGGAAAAGAAAATTTCAAGAGCATCACATTTATAACTTAAAAAGCATGTATCCCTGTCCTTGAGGGGCTAAGTGCTGCAGATGGCATGCTTGTAGAACAAGCTGTCCCTATTGAAGCTCAGCATTGGGGGAGGTTGTTTTCATTTCTGAGGGCAAAACAGAGAGCCAGAAACGTCATGGACTTTGGAGCTGTAAATCAGTGTTAGTGTTGAGGCTTTGTGATGTGTCACTGTGTTTTTGATGATGAGCAGGTTCCTTAAATCGGAGTGTATACTGCTCAGAGGGAGGGTAGCTGGAGGGAGTCTCAGAGACCATGATGTATCAAGGCATGGCACTGACTTGGGGCAGCATGAGCACTCACAGCCTAATAAATAATAGTGTTCCTATAGATCTCTGGAGAAATGGCCTTACATTGATCTTAGTGTCATTTTTGCACCATCTTTATAGGCATTTGAGATTCCCTTTTATCCATGTCCAAATGGTTGTATCTCAGAATTATGTTGACTTTCCCACTAGTTAAACGTGCCCTAAGAAGGAAGAGATTTGGTACCACCCAGAAGACTCTAAACATGGACCATATGACCTACAGGATGCTGGAAAGCATCGACTCCAAAGTCATTTGGAGCCCCGAGAGTGCTCTGGTGTAACATAAAGACTCCATGGTAGACAGCACTTCCCCGGGCCACGTGGATGTCATCAGCTGGTTTTGTTTATAGTTACAGAGCCATCTGTTCTTTATACCTTGGCTCTGATGGCTGCTGCCTGGTAGGCACTGACCCCAATCCCAGCTGCAGACATCCTTTAGATTTCAAGAGAAGCTCCAGAGGCAGCATGTGTGACTACAGAGCAGTCTAGCTACTGGGTTTTGAGAGAAGTTTTAAAGATGGTAAATCCCTACTCTATCATATATTTGCCCAAACAACCTATTTTGTGTTCAGTGGAATTCTAGATAAAGCTAGGACCCTAAAATAAAATGCCTTTTGTGACGAGACAGCCATCATGGAAGATACGTTCAATCAGTTTCTTGTTTTCTGTTATCCAGTCTTTTGATTTGGACATAGTCATCTCAGAGCTGCAGGAAGACCTTTGGTGGGATAGCAGGGTTCTGTCGCTTTGATTATAAGGTGTGCCTCTTTAGGGCAGCAGGGTGGCACCAGAGGATTTAGTCCTTCAGCAGGTGTTTAGTAAGAACCTCCTCATGCGCTCCGAGGGCAAAAGTGTCAGACTGATGCACGCTGGTGTAATTATAGAATTCAACTGCAAGTGTAGGCCATCCTAAACTTCCCAAATGTGATGGCGTTTCAACTGCAATGCACTTAGTTTGTGTCAGTTCTTCAGTTGTGAAGATTATTTGGGTGGTGCTGGGGCTCACATCCAGGCCTGGTGCATGCTAAGTGAGCACTTCACTTCTGAGCTCCACTACAGGTTTTGCCAAAACACACCCATCTCAGCTAGAGAGCACCAGAGCTCCCTCCATCCAGCTTCTTAACCTGCCTGTGCCTAGGTGGGCTTGCCCCTCTCCAGGTCATTAGCCCATAGGAAGTCAGTAACTTTCCACTGACCCCATTGCAGTGACTAGGAACAAGGCCCAGGGACAGCATGTACCTGCTGGGTGTCTGGCAGATATCGGATCCCCTTTTCTGTGATCACGTGGGCAAGCACTGAACTGAATTTCAAACGACAAATTTTTGCCCTTTTGTAGTTCTGATCCTGGAGAGATATTATTTCTATGCTATTAGCTTTGACATCTAAAACTTAATCTCTCGGGTGCAGAGATTAAGATTATTTCCCAACTGAAGGGTGTCCTGACTTATCCTGATGAGTAAGACTGTTTACTATCTGTCCCTCCTTGCCCTGGAACCCATGATCTTTCTCTTGAGATCACCTGTGTCCCTGTCATCTTCTGTCTCTAATAGTTAAGTGACCAGAAAGTCCAGAAGAAAGCTAGAATGACAGAAGGTTCCCATTTTAGTGGGTTGCATTGTGACTTGCGCTAACCAGCGGCAACTTCATGTCAAACCATGGACTTTTAAAATCGTGTTTTAAGTTTTAAGTGAATTAGAAGTTTTTGCCCCCCATGAACTTGTCAAATGAACATACGTAGTCAGCGATTAGATGAAGAAGCTTAAAGCAGGCTTTACTCCGGGCAACCGAGTCCCCAAACCCTTGCACATTTTCAACTCTGTTTCTTTTTCATTGTTCTTTTCCTTGTTACCATTATTTATTTTATAAATTTTTTTCATTTGGTTCAGACTTTTTCCCCCCTTAAATATATTCTTTAAAGTATCCCCATGTATGATTGGCTTGAAAGCTAATTCCAAAAAACGAGAATGGTCTGGGCTGTGACCTTAACCCTCTCCACCTCTGAAGCTGGTGCCAGAAGCTGTCCTCCGCTCCTCCTCCTCTGCCACTGCATGTCCCCTCTGTCTCGTGGCCTGCTATGCAAAGCCCTCACCTCTACTAATGTTTGCCTATGGTGCTGCACAACTGAATGACTTTCTAACATCCGTAGAGTAGCTGTATGGATTCGGGTCTATTCTGTCATTACTAATCAGTTAACCAGATATTACCATGTCTCTCATTGTTGAGAGTTTCAGATGAATACTAGTGTTGTGATGAGGTTGTTATTTTACTTCCCCCATATTTGTAACAGGATTTATTAAGATAAACTGTGCTAGAAAAAGAATTGGAAGCAACAGCTAAAAACAGAGCATTTATTTGAAGTTTAAGAGTATGTGATATTTACAAAGCACATTTCTTTTGTGAAGATTTAAAAAGTATATTTTTCAGTTCTCTAAGGAAGCTGAGAGAGCTTCTTCTGAATATAACAAGGGGAATGATGACACTTCATGACCAAAGATTAAGAACATTTCTGAATAAAAAAATTTTCCTTTTCACATTAGTGGGGTCTTCCCGAAAATTATATATACATTATTGAATGTTTCCATATAAAACAAGAAGAAATATGAGTTTGTATTGTCTTGTCTAAAGTCTAGAACTGTGGTTAAAAAAAGAAAACTGAAAACAAACTTTTAAAGAATAGCAAAATTTAGTATGTGCACATTGGTATTCATGCAAGAGTATCCAGAACCAAGATTCCTTGAATGAGATCTAGAGATGAGAGAATGACTGTGTGCATGTATGCACGTGTGTGTGTGTGTGCGTGCGCATGTGTGTGTTGTGTGTGTGTGTGTGTGTGCGTGCATGTGTGTGTGTTGTGTGTGTGCTCGTGTGCGTGTGTGGTGCGTGTGTGTGTATGTGTGTAGAAAGCATGAAGCAGACCCCCCCACCCCATGCCTCTGGGGAGAGTAGTGTGATGCCTTTCTATTGCTTGTGTTTGCTTTATGGTCAAGGTGTCCAACCTTGGTATTTATAGTTTTCTATCTATCATCCATTTCTAATAAGTACTGATTTAATTTTTGTGGGCCTGTTTTTTTTGTTTGTTTGTTTTTAAGAAAATACAAAAGGTAAAATGTACCAGAGAGGAGCCTTCTTGTAAGTATGAAGTAAAAATACTACTTTTCTAAGAAGACCTTATCAATATCGATGGGGAAATATTATACAGATCTGAGAAATACTGAATTTATAAAATTTTTAATCTTGTCTGTCATTGCTTGTCCTGCTATGATGAAACAATAAATTATCCATGGATTCAGATACTTGGTTATGAAATATAATTTCAAGATTTTAATATTCAGTATAGTTTCAGTCGCATAAATGGCCTCTCTTTGATTTAATTTTTATAAAGAATTTTAAATATTATGAGAAATTTCTTTGCTATGTTATTCTTTTGGTATATCCTGAAAGAATTTGAGGCCAAAAACTTGGCATTAATTATTATGTTCAAATTAGTGTAACTTGGTATAGGGAAGGGAAAATGTCCATCCATTGGGTCTTGCTGAAGGGAAAGTTACATTTACCCATGGAAAGTCTGCCCTGGGGGGGGGGTGTATGCATACCTATATGAAGCACTACTTAAAAGTACTGTGACTTTCTTGTATATTTAAGCCCAAAAGACACAAATACCAACTAAATAAACATTTGTATTTTACTGTTTTTACAGCCTTTTGATCAAGGAAGGATTCAGAAAATTTTCCAGGCTATATGCAGCCGACTTCTCACTTTTAACAGATTGTCTTCTAAAGCTGCTAAATACTGATAAAAACTATCTAACCATGATAACTCTTGCAGTTTTTGTTAAAGCTATATGGTAGCGTGTCCTGCCTTGTTGTCCAGTTAAATATTCATTAGTCCTCCTCTGAAGATGGCAAGAGGTGGTTGTTTTCAAAGCTGTTATTGCTCCATGTACTATTGCATAATACAGCCAAATATATTTGGTGTATTCTGTTAGCTCTTAAAGTCTATTTTTTCCCAAATAAGGAAATTCAAGGGACATAATAAATTCCTTGATAGAGTGACATTCACTTTCTAGCTTATATAAAATAATCTTGGAAACATTGTTGAAGAAACTGTTTCTAACTATTGTGCTATCTTATATCTATTTGATTTTTGTTTCCATGTAAGTATTGAAATTGAGTAAACCTTTACATAACTTTAAAATTCAAAATGCTTTTAAATTACAAATAGAAATTTAAATCTGTAATGTGGGGCAGCCATCTTGGTTGCTGACCATTTAACTAAAACCAATCATTTAACTCTTATTTGTGCCAGACTGACAACTAAAAATAACTTGTCACCACGAATGTTAATTAGCAGAAGATATAAAGTCTAAAATAACAGTATGGATTTGTGCTAAGAGTATTAACAGATCGATAATGTTAGAAACCATGTAATTAATCTTCTAGGGATACTTGTTCATGTCTCTGTGTGTGATTCAAAAAGGAGTGGTAGTGTCTGTCATCTCTTGTCCTTCCTACTCTCTAACTAGGGTCACTTTAACCTACAGGCTGGTCACCCTCCCTAACCCCTTTGCTAATGAGTGGTGGTCCTGCCCCCCTGGCTGGCAGGCCCACCCTTCTTCAGCAAGCTGCTGCCCAGGGGAATGTCACTTTATTATCAATGCTGCTTAATGAAGAAGGACTGGACATAAATTACTCCCGTGAAGACGGCCATTCTGCCTTGTATTCTGCTGCTAAGAATGGACATACAGGTAAAAACAAACACACACCACACACCACACAAGGTCCAACCTTTCCACACTCCACACTTGCAAAATGACACAAGCCAAAGATGATTGATCCACTGTTGTGAGTAAAAAAATCCACTTGAATTTTGAATCTCACTTTTCTTTTAAAAGGAGTAAAAGGAGGATCAGGTAAATCTTTTTTTACATGAGTTTTTTTTTTTTTTTTTTTTTTTTTTTGGTTTTTATGAGCCAGGGTTTCTCTGTATTGTCTTCAAGGCTGTCAGTCCAGCCCAGCCTCGAACTCACAGAGATCCGCCTGCCTCTGCCTCCCGAGTGCTGGAATTAAAGGCAAGGTGTGTGCCACTACCGCCCGGTGAGATTTTTTTTTTAAGATGTATTTATTATGTATACAGTGTTCTGCCTGCATGTGTGCCTGCGTGTCAGAAGAGGGCACCAGATCTCGTATAGATGGTTGTGAGCCACCATGTGGGTGCTAGGTATTGAACTCATGACGTCTGGAAGAGCAGCCAGTGCTTTTAACCTCTGAACCATCTCTCCATCCTTGTACATGAGTTTTAAAGTCTTATGGCTACTTAATGGCCTAATTATGTAGTTACTTAATATAAAATGTAGAGCTAGTAACAAAGTAAATTTTCATTTGTACACACCAAAGTATATTGTCCACATAACAGTTACAAATCACACTTTAGGATCAAACTGTCTACCTGGGCTCACTCTTGTTAGGGCAGAATAAACCTGATTTATGCTATGGAAAAAGAGCAGAGCATCCGGGCTGTTAGGACTAGGGTACAAGTAAGTTTTACTAGTTAGGAAGGATGGTCTTGGAATAATTTACTGTTATTTAGGATTTTTTTTTGAGAACTGGGAAGTTATGGCACTATAAAAGATCTGTCAGCGGAAGCTAAATTCTTTTTACTCTTTAAAATGCAAATCCTGTAGCTAAATATACTAAAACGTGTGGTAGCACAGGAATAGTGATAGCTTGCAGTGGCTTCACTGTAAGTCCTAAGTTAACAGTGTATGTGAGCCACACACTACTGGTCGGTTCAGATAGATGCTGTAGGTTGCACTTCAGAATTCAGAAACACTGGGGAATTTTCTTTATTGTAGAGAATTTAGATTTAGACCATACAATATTATTTATGATACTTTTCTGTTAGTGATGCTTACGTCTCGGGTGACTTTCTGTGGGTTTTACTTGATCTTCAGGGGTGTACAATGATGCACAAAGAGGCACTTTGATGATAAAATTTGGTAAATGGATCCAGCTTTCCGCCGCAAAACATTATTTTTGGAAAATCTGGTGGAGAGTCTAGCAAAGTACTTTTCTGGTATATGGTATTCCTTTTTAGCTACCAACAACTCTACTGGAAATATTTTTTTTAAATCATGCCTAGGTGGCTTTGAAGGTAGCGTGTCTCCAGGAAAAGAGATGGCTTTCCATCTGAAAGTCCATGACAGGTCACATCCAGGAGAACAGAGCTGTCAGACCATCTGCGTAGTGGGAAGGGCCTTGAGCCGTTAGAATCTCTCCACAGCTTCTAGGGAACTTGGTTCATCATAGCACTAAGTGGGGAATTAAAGTGACTCTCTTTAAAACCCGTAGACTGTGTGCGATTGCTGCTGAATGCAGAAGCCAGAGTCGATGCTGCTGATAAAAATGGCTTCACACCCTTGTGCGCCGCAGCTGCTCAGGGACATTTTGAGTAAGTGATGCACTTCCTTGGTTTTTGTTTTCCTGTAAAAATGACCCCTTTTTATATTCCTGCACATATTTCACTCCTGCTAAGTATGTAAACGAGAGCTTAACCTTCATTGACAAAGTAACTCACCAAACACATTTGAAGGCTCAAATGCAAAGCAGGACCCTAGATTTGTTCTTCGTAACAAAGGTTAAGTGTTGGATCTGAAGCAAGTGTGCATACGTCCATGTCTGCACCGCACATCAGTGAACTTCTCTGGAGATGGTCAACTACAGCATGCTACCGGATGAAGTAAGGAATGCAGAGCACATCATTGTTTCCTCTTCCCTACAAAAGCTTTTGTTGGTGCTACCATTGAAATTAAGACAGAGGGTTATACTAGTTATCATAATCCCATTGTCCTACTATTAAGTTATGTGACAGTTAGGCCCACATCCTCATCTTGCTTCATTCACAATTAAGAGAAAGATCAAAGCAGGGCTTTTGCAGACTGAAAGTCATTCAAATGCAAAAGGAAGAGGTCAATTAATATGCAATTGGCCGTAACGATGATTTCGACAGCAGTTGGACGTCATTAAATATAGGGATTACTTTTCACAACGGAAAGTCGTATGTTAATAATAGAATGTAGCCCGATTGCTGTGCTGCCTGTGCTGAGCTGGCAGATTGTGAGGAATATATACCACTGCCACCTCTGAAACCCATCTGTCCTGAGAGAAATATCCTTGAACAAATTACAGAATCCTTGGCATTTTGGTTTTGAGCCCAAGTCTTCAACAGCTGAGCTGTTTTTTTCCAACTCAAACTATACAGTTCTTAAAATAAGTTGTTTTAGAATTCACATCAGTGTTATTAATTACAAATGTATTCTATAATATTCCAAACGCGGCCTTCTGTGCCTAGTGTCATTTTCCCTTGCGTATCTAACGTGCGTCTCATCAGCCTGATGAGTTTTGGAAACCACAGGCGCTGCTTCTGCTGTTTCTTTCGGTTGTGTTCTATGCCCTACAAAGCACATCTGTCCTCCTGGTCTCCTTCTGCCTTTGTCTGCTCCATGTTACTAGGCCATATGTGAAGGATATAACTGTCACAGATCAGAAGCGTGGATAGCTTTTGAAGGAGAAACCCTGTGGAAATTCAGGAATCGGTCAATGTAAAGAACATTGTTACACAAATATGTCAACATGTGACTTATTTTAAAACGTATGTAAGCCAAATACTGGAAAAAAACAAAACAAAACCTGACTTTCCCTAATTCAAATTCTATCTCTATGTGTTGAGCTAGTCACTAAGTCACAGTCTTGTCTTCCCTCCTTTCCTTTTTCTGTGCAGCTCTGTGTCCTCAGAAGCCAGCTATCACCCAAAGAGACAGCCTCGTCCATCTTTCTCCCAAGGCCGCCCTTTCCCCAGCCCCCTGCTACTTTTTATAGCGGAGACACATGGTGCCCGGCTGTCTATGCTATTTATAATCAGTTTCTGGAGTGAAAGAAAAATCACAGAATGAATCAGCAGCCCCATGTTTGTTTCGAGGCCCAAACTATTTTGAATTGCAAATAATATGTATACCAAGCGCGATTAAATCATCTAACCTAATAACTAAAACCTGTTCCAAGGACAATGCCTATAAAAGTTGGTAATGTGTATCATGAACTATGTGTGAGCATCCGTAAAAGAATGATTTGCTTAATTTTCATAATTTTTGCGACCAAAGTGTTGTTTTTAGTCTTATGAAAGTGGTAGCAATGCAATAAGGTTCATAATAACCGATTTGGTGTAAATAAAGATAAATGATACATGTCAGTATGGGCTTGCTGAGGCATGTCATCTAGATTTGGAACTGACCAGGGAGCATTTCAAAGCTGACGTCTCATTTCTGTGTAACTAATCACAATCCTATGTGCAGATGTATAGAATTACTAACTGCATACGATGCCAACATTAATCATGCTGCTGCTGGAGGACAGACACCTCTGTACCTGGCCTGTAAAAATGGAAATAAAGACTGTATCAAACTCCTGCTGGAAGCTGGCACTGACCGGAGTATACAAACTAGAGTAAGTACCCATTTGGGATGGTTCTCACAGACACACTGTGTCTGAAAACTAGTTGTATAGGTTCAAAAATCATGTACTCGTGCTTTTCTAATATGGGTGTGCATATATGACATGTGCAGACATTTTTCTTTGTCATTATTCCCTAAATAAGGCAGTATAACAGCTGGCTACATAGTATTTGCACATTGGATGACATTGTAAGTAATGTGGAGAGGACTTAAGAATGTGGAAAGATGTGTGTAAGCGCTATGTTAATGCTACAGTATTTTAGCCTGGCGGTGGTGGTGCACGCCTTTAATCCCAGCACTCGGGAGGCAGAGGCAGGCATATCTCTGTGAGTTCGAGGCTGGGCTACACCGACAGCCTCCAAAACAATACAGAGAAACCCTGTCTCGTAAAAACCAAAAAAAAAAAAAAAAAAAAAAAAAAAAAGCTACAGTATTTTTCATGAGGGATTTGTGCATCTCTAGGAATGCAGAGGACAGGCTGGGGTAGGATGTAGCAATGAAACTATTTTCCTATAAATGCTAAAGGACAACTGCACACTGAAACAGACTCCTTAACTGTGCTCTACTTTAAGGATATTGAATTGGAAACTTTGAGTCTCTAACTTGCCAATTAAAACTTATGTCCACTTTACCTCATCAGTCATTCAAATTCTGAGACTAGAACCAACAATGGCAAAAAAAGAATACTAGTGCTATTAGTATTTCAGGATTAGAAACAGTGAAAGTGTAAGTTTTAGTCATTGAACAAATACTTTTCTTGGACCTTTGATGTTATTACTTAATTTCACTGACAAGAACCAATCATTAACTGCCAGTATAAGCAAAGAAAAAAATGCAGGTATGTCTGAACTACTTACATGCCTAGTTCCCATAGAGTCCAGAAGAAATCAGCAGGCCCCATGGAACTTGAGTTACAGATGGTTGTGAGGGGGCATGTGGGTTCTGGACATTAAACCCAGGTCCTCTAAAAGAGCAGTCAGTGTTCTTGGCCATGGGGCTATCTTTCCAGATCCTGTTTGTTTTTAATCTGAAAGAAGTAGTTTAGTTTCACATTTCCTTGTTATTTTATGTATTTCACCCAAGAAATAGATGGTGGTTGTACATCTTCACTACAAAATCCTCCCTTATTGATGTAAGAGAAATGAATTTTGCATCATCCAGCTGAGTAAGAAGTGCAACAGGGAAGGTTAAGCCACATCCTGGTGAGAATAAAGATCCATGCTCTCTAGCTAGATTTGTTGGTCAAAACAGAACCTTTTTAAACACAGAAGTACACAGTGTAATTCATAGGTGGTCGAGGGAATAATGATGTCTTATGCCTTTTAACGGTAAAGTAGCAAGAGAAAGTGGAAAGTTGAAAGGTTTTTGCCTTGTCTTGTTTTTTTCCTAGAAGGCCTGTTTGGACTCAGTTAAATAGGAAGGTAATCAGCACTTGCCCTCTGTGGCCTGCATAAGGTTGGTGTTCTAACACTGCAGAAGAAAGCAGGGATCTGGTTTACCTGACTGGAATGCAGACCATACCCAGCTCTAGTTACTACCTGTGTGGTCTTATCTGAGTCAACTGAATTTACTGTCATGAGAGTCAGAAACAGAAAAGGGCACGTCCTCAAGAGTGAGCTTTGGGAAAGGATTGCAATACTTAGTGTACATTGAGGTGGTTCCTACTTACTGGCTAATTTTCTAAGCTTCTACATCATTAGTTTAAAAAAATTGTACTATTGTGGTGCATATTTATTGCACTCAGGAGTCAGAGGCAAGGGGACTATATCAACTTTCAGGCCAGCAAGGGCTGCCTAGTGAGAACCTTTCTCAAAACACACATTAAAAAAAAAAAAAACAGAAAGTATTGTAGCTTATTCAAACATTTAATATAACAATATGGAATTCTTTTTTTAATTTTTTTAAATATGTAGCCCAGGCTGGCCTCAAAATAATGATCTTCCTGCCTCCACCTCCTTCATCAAATCCTACCAATATGGAATTCTATATGAAAATGATGTTACATTTTTCAGGTAGAAAATGATGGTACAAATTTCATATGGAATTTTTTCAGGTAGAAAAAAATAAAGCCCCAAAGCAAGTCAATTCTTTGACAAAATCTCTGAAGACAGACAAGAATTCCTGTGTAGTCAGTGGGCAGTCCTGCTGTGTGTCAGGATGGGAGGCTAACAGAGACTCACCCTAAAACAGCACTCGTTTAAATGCTTCCCATTCACTCCTGGACATGCCTGATAAACTCATGGACTTTTCCTGCTAGGATCCGCTTGTCTGGAGAGAGGCTTGGAGACCTCCATTTTTAACAATGTCCCAGAGGATACTGAGGCTGTGGGACTGAGGACCCCTGCCCTGAGACTGAGTATACTCAAAACCAGCTAAGTGGCGGGGTAGGACAGGGAAGGGCGGGGACAGCAATATTCATTCCAGGAAGCTGGGCGGTGGTGGTGCACGCCTTTAATCCCAGCCCTCAGGAGGCAGAGGCAGGCAGACCTCTGTGAGTTCAAGGCCGGACTGGACCGACAGCCTCCAAAACAATACAGAGAAACCCTGTCTCGAAAAACAAACAAACAAAAAAAATTCATTCCAGGAAATGAGTATCTAGGTGCAACGTTTTCTAAGGAAGTATGGAGGTCCAGGGAAACAATCTGGCTTTGGTTTTTTGTTTTTGTTTTTTTCTACATTGCTACCTTTTCCCTGTTACTAGAATCTTTCCTTCTGGAATAGTTGGCAGAAAAATGTTCAGATCCCTCGAGTTAGGTCACTGGCCTTGAAGTAGAAGTCATTTGCAGCAGTCTCCTTCTGTGTGTGACTAATTTACTAACACCACTGTTATTGCATATAATTTTAAAAATCTCATTAGGATAAAGTTCACTCCATGTTTTAATACTGAATTGAGATTCTGGTTGGTCAAGCATAATACTCATTCCAGATGGTGGATGTTAGGTGGAAATGGTGATTTAACAGCAAACATGAATCACAGTTGTGGAAAATAAGGACCAGTAAAAGGCAAGAGGACTTATGTTCATCAGGAATTTTCAGGGGGGGACCACCTCCATTCTTTGGTACAGTGATTCGTGACGAAGAATATTTAGAGGTGAACTTTAAAACAGCACTGTTCTATCATTAATGCTGTTATCAATTCCCCCCTGGTCATTTTATTTTCAGGATGGCTGGACACCAATTCACGCAGCTGTGGACACTGGTAATGTGGACAGCCTCAAGCTCCTAATGTACCATAGAGTGCCAGCTCCTGGAAACTCTTTGAGTGCAGAAGAGCCCAAGTCAGGCTTGTTCACCTTGAATGGAGAAGAGAGCCCTACAGGTACATCCAAGCCAGTGGTTCCTGCAGAACTCATTAACCACGCTGACAAAGAAGGCTGGACTGCTGCACATATCGCTGCCTCCAAAGGCTTCAAGGTGTGTCTGCTAGCAGCTGGCCTCATCGCCCAGTTGTAAATTTGATGAGTGGCGTAGCCATCTGCAATTGATCTGGTGTGTTTAGACTGAGTAATTGGACACGGAGCAATATCATTGCAGAAGATGATGGGCTGCTGCTGGTACGAATTGACATTCATTTCTCTCCAGCAGATGTTTATGGTTAGGGAATAGGAGAATTTTCATTTTGTAAAAAAACACTCTCTTATTTGGAGTCTTTCCGCAAGAAACACGAGAGTAATTGCAAATGTTTTACTCCATCTGTGGTAGAAAGGAAAGATTAGTATTAATGTAATTCACAGGTAGTTTACAAACAAAGGCCACATACCAGCTAAAGCTCCAATATCTAGAGGGAGTCTCAGATTGTAGGCTATTTTCTTGGGCTCTTTCCGTTAGTAACAGTAGGCTTTGCCAATAATAAAGTATTAGGACTCTCCAGTGCAGAGCACTATGTGTGCTGATATCTGAAGAAACAATTTGCTCTTAGACCAGTGGCACGGGTACAAGTTATAATGTAGGGAAAGGAGACAAAGTCAAGTTCAGAGTGATGAATAGTCATCAGGTCAGCCCCTCAATCAGTGATACGGGAAAACAGAGATTATGCACTTCAAAGAGTAGGGATTTTAGGAATATTCGCTTCAGGGTCTGTTCGTTCTAAAGGAGGCAGAAATTACGTGGGAGATCCTGAAGACCACTGGAGAGAAGTATTCAAATGAAGGGAGAAATAGAATAGACATAGAAGCAGCGGCTAACAATCCCAACTGTGCTAAGGTGAAATAGAAATAAAGTGACACTAGGAGTGACATTGTTGGCATGCGGGCCTGTAGGAACATTGAGTAATGGGCTTGACCTGAAATTACCGATGAATACACAGCAGTGGATTGTAGTGAGAGATCTACCCAGCCTGCACAGATTAAGATACATGGAACTTCGTTAAATATAGGTTAATTGTATTAGGGAAGAAGTCACTTACATAAGGAACTAATGACCCTCAAGTTCCAGCTCCAAGGAACCACACCCAGGCTGCTCTCAGTGACCCAACCAGAACCAGGAGCAAGCAAGCCAGTCCCAGACCCAGACCAAATACCATACACTCACACCCACACCTGTGACCACGCCCAAACTGGCTTGGTCAGCGCCGCGGTTGAGGCTGGGTGGATCGCTCACTACAGCGGAAGGCTTTAGAAAAATAAGATAAGTGGTTACCCAGTATAAATTATTTAATTTAGCAATACTACTTAGACCATTTGGGATATTGAACAAAATGGTAGCAGAAAGAAGGTGGCGAGAACAATGGTAATAATGAGAATTATTACAGATAGCAGTGTTCAAGGATGAGACTGAAGACGGCTTATTGGGTAAAGTGCTTTTTGCACAAACATGAGGAACTGATCTTGGATGAACAGCACCTACATGAAAGCTGGGTGTGGCAGCGTGCTTTTGCAACTCCAGTACTGAGGGTGTGGAAACAGACACATCCCAGGGACTTTCTGATCAGTCAGGCTAGTCGAAACATTGACTGTCATGCTCACAGAGAGATTCTGCCTCAAAAAGTAAGTTGGAGAAAAACAGAAGAAGACACCCAAAGTCAATTTTTTGTTGTTTTTTTTCCATTTTGTTTTGGTTTTTTGTTTTGTTTTGTTTTGTTGTTTTGTTTTTGTTTTTACGAGACAGGGTTTCTCTGTATTGTATAGGGAGGCTATCAGTCCAGCCCGGCCTCAAACTCACCGAGATCTGCCTTCCTCTGCCTCCCGAGTGCTGGGATTAAAGGCGTACGCCACCACTGCCCCCAAAGTCAATTTTTGACCTTCACATGCACACACACACACACGAAGAGTGTATGCACACATATGTACACCTGTCACACCAATTCTAGTTGGTCTTAATAATAAAAACTCAGAGGCAGATGTTAGTGTTAAAGCTGAAGATCAGAGAAGCAAATCAGCCAGCTACTAGCCTTCCCTCTACCTCAGACCAAAGGAAATACCTGTGTGGGACTGTTAAATATACTGCAGACACCATGTACTTCACAGTTTGATTTCTAAAATGAGTAGGGAAAGAAAAAAGCATGATTGTGTTCAGTGCTTGTTAGCCTTATGGTTTCCCCCACTTTACTCCTTGACACAAAAGAAATAAAAATTCCAAGAGCTCAATATGTATGTTTCATTTTAACAGAATGTATATAGCATAAAAGATTTTAGGAGACATAAGTGGGAAGTGTAAGTCATTTAAATTTGAAAATGCAGCTACTCAAAGACTGGCAGTTTCATTGACAGAAGGTTCATGGAAAGTCAGTTTGTTGCTCACAACCCTTCAACAACAACAACAAAACTCTGTAATGGGAGATGTGGCTAATGAATATATTCAGCCTGCAGGTACAATACAGGGAAAAACAGATCATCTCTGTCCTAAGATGTTTGCCTACCATACCTCTGCACCTCTTTTACTGGGCCAAAAGGAACCTCCTCCCCTGAGAAGCTAGCCTTCAGTGAAGGATGGGACTGCTGTGTGGCCTCTTCAATACGCACTCTTCTTAGTCCCAGAGTTTTGATGATGCTGTTTCCCATTGATCCCCTCGACCCTGACAGCAGTAAACACTCCTTCATTGTTGTGTAACAGACAATATGACCTCCTTATCTCAGAATAGGACTCTTCTGTATCCTCTTAGTTTTAAAAGCATAAGATCAATTTTTGATGTGAGATTTTAGGGAATGATTGACAACACACACTGCTAAGCTGTTTAAATAATAGATTTTTTTTTTTTAGCTCTGGAGTGGGCATTTAATCTTCCATTTTGACCTCTTTATTTTATGATTAGGACATCTAAGCCTGAGAGGGTTTAATAGCCATTGGGAATGAAGCCCAGATTTCCTGATTCTGTTATTCTTTTTCACTCTACATCCTTCCTTTCTAGTCAAAACTATCTGTATCGCTTGCCTGAAACAGCGTGTCCATTCTGTCTAAAATATCTTTCCCAGATTATTCATTTATAACAAACTGCTGAGGCCAGTTTTCAGAAACAGTAAATCACAGCCATCAGAGAGTCATTCTACTCTATCCACAACAGGACCTTAAAAATGAACTCAGTTGGTCACATATGCTTTTTTAGTCTGTATAAAGCTGGTGATGTTGCCCACGAAACTCAAACATGCATGCCACATTTTCTCTTACAGATCCTAGATTCCTATTGATATGTGAATATCAATGTGAATGTGGGTATAGGTTATGCAGTTGGAAACACAACTCTACAAAAGGCAGGTTCAAAAGGCAGATGTGAGGCTATGCATTTGGGGCTTGTCACTTCAGAAGCCACAGTTAAAGCTGAAAACTTGAAGAGCTTTTTAAAAACAGGAGACAACGGAGCCTGGGAATTACTAGTGTGAAGCCAGCATGGAATCAAACACCAGAGGGAACTACTAGATTAGGAAACAGGTTAGTTTTGTCAACACAGGAATTAGTCACCTAGGAAGAGGGAATCTTAACTGAGAAATTGCTTCCACCAGATTGGGCTATGAACCTGTGGAGTAACTGTAGGGCATTGTCTTGATTTATGATTGATATAGGAATACCCACCCACTGTGGGTGGTTACCTACTCCCATCCCCCATTCCACCCCTTGGCAAATGGTCCTGGATTTTTATAAGAAAACAAGTTGAGCAAGCCCTGAAGATCAAGCCAGTAAATCAATTTCTTCCACAGCCTCTCGTCTGCCTCCAGGTTCTTGCCTGGAGTTCCTTCCCAATTTTCCTCCTTAATAGATTGCAGCTTGTTAGCTTAAATAAACCTTTCTTCCCCATGCTGCTTTTTGTCATGATGTTTTATCACATCAACAGAATATCAAACTAGAGTAAGAGGGGAAAGTGGGAACTTAAGCTGAGAGGAATTAAAAGCAAAAAAATTGGGTAGGGTAGTGAAGATCAATAAAACAACGTATACGTGAAAACACCATAATGAAACTTTGCTCAGATTTCGATGGAGAATTATGGGACTTTAGAGCTTGAAGGGATAGAGTTAACTCATTCCAGCCCCTGTGCATTGTATATGAAGAAATGAAGTCTTGGGAAACGGTGAAGTTACTTTTTTTCAAAGGAGGCTCATAGAGAGCCCGTTACATCAGTGCTTGCATCTTCACAGTTCTGGATTTTTTCCCGTGGGTGAGCTCGTTCAGATAGGCACTACTGCCTTATCACAGGAGATCTTCCAGACTGGCTTCTGAATGCGCCACAGAGAAGGTCAAACTTTGTCTTCCTTGCTTCCTGAAAATAGATTTTAGAAACTTCTTTTTGCATGTATCCCTTATTACTATTATTTATATCCTGTTCTTAGTCTCCCCTCCTCCTAGTAGCTATCCGCACCTCCCCCCTGCCCCTATTCACTCCTCCAGTTCTCTTCATGTAGAAAGAGAACTGTGTACCCATAGCGCTGACCACGCCCATTTGGGTGTGTTCACAGTTACATAGAACATGGGGGGGGGGAAGCTAGGGGGAGGAGAGGCTTTCTCTTTGGGTTCCGGTTTTGGCCTGGAGGGCAGCGTACAAACTTTTGGTTTTTGGTATAAGTGATTTCTTCCTCAATAAAATATCATAGGACATCCCTATTTTTGTAGCTTAATATTTCCACATTATCTACAGAAAAGTATAGACTTCCCATGGATATCTACCAACCATGGAACATCAAGTTATGGTAAAACTAGGCACCTCCCCTCATATTAAGGCTGGACAGAGTTACCTAGTATATGGGAAAGGGTCCAAAAAGCCAGCAAAAGAGTCAAAGACAGACCCTGTTCCCAATGTTAGGAGTCCCATAAGAGCATAAAGCTACACAACTGTAATATATATGCAGAGGACCTAGGTCGTCAGTCCCATGTAGACTCCCTGGTGTTGGTTCAGTCTTTGTGAGCTTCTCTGAGCCCAGATTAGTTGGTTCTGTGGGTTTCCTTGTGTCCTTGACCCCCTGGCCCCTACAACCTTTCCCCCTCCTCCT